TGGGATCAAGCTGGGATCAAGCTGGGATCAAGCTGGGATCAAGCTGGAATCAAGCTGGGATCAACCTGGGATCAAGGCGGGATCAAGCTGGGATCAAGCTGGGATCAAGGTGGAATGAAAAGCTGGGACCAAGCTGGGATCAAGGTGGGATCAAGCTGGAATCAACCTGGGATCAACCTGGGATCAGCCTGGGATCAACCTGGGATCAAGCTGGGATCAAGCTTTTCATCCCAGCTTTTTTTTGACCAGGGGACATCTCACCACTCCAGGTGACATCTCACCACTCCAGGTGACATCCCACCACTCCAGGTGACATCTCACCACTCCAGGTGACATCCCACCACTCCAGGTGACATCCCACCACTCCAGGTGACATCTCACCACTCCAGGGAACATCTCACCACTCCAGGTGACATCCCACCACTCCAGGTGACATCTCACCACTCCAGGTGACATCCCACCACTCCAGGTGACATCTCACCATTCCAGGTGGGATCTCACCAGACCAGAGATGAAAATCCTCCCACACTCCTTTGGATACATCCCAGGACAAGATCCAAGATCCCTCTGGATCCATCCCTTTTCCCCCCAGTGACCCCACCACGACCTCGGGTGACCAGTTTGAGGAGGAAGGAGTTGTTTTCATTATTTTGGCAACTTCCCATTTCCAAATAAAAAACCAACAAAACCGGTCTGGACTGGGAACCGAGTTTTTCTTCCCAGTTTTTGTAACAGGGAACTGATCCTGGCTCAGCTCCCGAGGTCGGGCTCGGAATTTCTGGCTCCTTCAGCCACCTCTGGGACACGGAGGACGGAATTTTTCCGAGGACGTGGAAGGGAAAAGCTTGATAAATTTTAAAAGGAAAAAAAAAGTTTGAAAAGATAAAAAGGGGAAATGAACTGCAGGGGAATTGTTGATTAAAAAAAAAAGGTGGAATGGTTTGAGTGATAAGGAACCACCCCGAGGGAGCGGGGGAAGGGTTGGGACTGAACCTCACCCAATTTGCCTCTTCTGAGCCAAAAACAGCCCAAAGTGAGACCTCCAAAAATCAGGAGAAAATGTGGAGAGGAGCAGGAGCTGAACCTCGCCAAATTTGCCTCTTCTGAGCCAAAAACAGCCCAAAGTGAGACCTCCAAAAATCGGGAAAAAAGGTGGAGAGGAGCAGGAGATGAACCTTGCCCAATTTCCCTCTTTTCAACCTAAAAACAGCTCAAGGTGAGACCTCCAAAAATTGGGAAAAAAGGTGGAGAGGAGGAGCTGAACCTCACCAAATTTGCCTCTTCTCAGCCAAAAACCCCTCAAGGTGAGACCTCCAAAAATCAAGAGAAAAGGTGGAGAGGAGCAGGAGCTGAACCTCACCAAATTTCCCTCTTCTGAGCCAAAAAAAACCCCAAGGTGAGACCTCCAAAAATTGGGAAAAAAGGTGGAGAGAAGGAACTGAACCTCCCCCAATTTCCCCCTTCCCAGACAAAAAAACCCCAAGGTGAGACCTCCAAAAATTGGGAGAATTTGGGAGAATTGGAGAGGAGCCGGAGCTGAAGGCAGAGCTGGAGAACATCTGGACCAGAGATGGACCTCGGCACTCCACCAACAGCTCTGCATGGCCACGAGAGATCCGTGGCAGTCCTGGATGCCAAAATCCGTCCCAAATCCACCCCCTGGAGCTGCTCCACACATCCCCTGAGCCTGAAACCATCCCAAAATCTCCATCCCGTGGGATGAGGAGCTCCTGGCGCTCACCGGTTTGGTGGAGGAGCAGGAAGGTGGCGAGAAACTGGATCCAAGATGCGTCCATGGGCGTCCGGAGCACGGAGAGGATCGGGATGGCAGAGAACGCAAGAGCGAAGGCGATGAAGAGGAAGAGGAAGAGCGTCCGCGTGGTTTTCCGGCCGCTGGGGGAGGCGGAGTGTTGCGGTTTGAGATAAAAATGTCATTTTTTGGATGAAAACTTGAGGTTTTGAGGGGAAAAAAAGGGACTCCGGTTTCCAAGTGGGACAGAGATGGTCGTGGTGGCCGTGACTCCAGCCTGGAGAGCGTTTATCCCGGAAAATGTCACGGTTTGGGAATGTTTGGACATTCCCAGACACCACCCCAAAAGATCCAGAAATGCCCCAAAATTTCCAGAGGTTCCAACCCCAAAATATCCAGGAGCCACAAGCCCAAAATATCCGGAAGCCACAACCTAAAAAGATCCAGAAATGCCCCAAAAAATCCAGAGGTCCCAACCCCAAAAGATCCAGAAAAACCCCAAAATATCCAGAAACTTCAACCCCCGAAAACCTCCAGCGGCCACAACCCCAAAATATCCAGAAATGCCCCAAAAGATCCTGAAGTCACAGCCCCAAAAACCTCTAAAGCCGCCACCCCAAAAGATCCAGAAATGCCCCAAAAGATCCAGAGGTCCCAACCCCAAAAGATCCAGAAAAACCCCAAAATATCCGGAAGCCACAACCTAAAAAGATCCAGAAATGCCCCAGAAAAATCCAGAAATGCCCCAAAAGATCTGGAAGTCTGTCCCAAAAACCTTTAAAGCCACCCCCAAAAATCCAGAAATGCCCCAAAATGATGAGGAACATTTTTATATCTTTATATCTATTTTTATATATTTATATAAACATGAGGCTCCGTTCTTTTGGTTACAAACCCCGGGAATTTCCTATTCCCCAGTATTCCCAAAACTGCTCCAAACCCCTCTTGTCTCCCCCAAAATCCACGCCCTGGACACGGGGACGATGACAATTTTTGACTTCCCCTTTCCGGATTATTCCGGGAACGCGGCACGCGGACGCCTCGTGGTGAAATTTTGGGCTCAGGGGGAAGTGAGATGGAAAGGATGGATCCAAAATCCTAAAAAAAAACCCCAAAACTTCCCGGTTCCTCTGGCCCAGTGAGGAGCTGGGAGCTGCTGGCTCAGACTGGTTTGGGGTTGGGAGGGACATGAAGGTTTTGGGGCTGGAATGGGAATTTTGGGG